GGCCTGCACCGCGTACGGGTCGCGGGTGTCGTAGCGCATCTCGACCTGGACCGGGACCGGCGGGTTCGGGGGTCCGACGAGGTCGAACACCGCGGTCGAGCGGATGGTCACGTGGTCGTTGAGCATGGGGAGTGCCTTTCGCCGCGCTGCTGTCAGGTGGAGAAACGACCGACTCGCGAGCCTGTGACGCTGGTTCACCCGGCTCGCGCACTCGTCACACCCGATGACCACTCTCTCGGGCTCCTACTCGGTCCGGCTGCGTAACGGAGTGCCCCTCCCGGCCGGGCGCCCGCCATTGGTGCGGACGCACTAGCCTGGAGGTCGTTAGCCCCGGACACGTCAGCCGAGGAGAGGTTCGGGCCCCGGTGGAACCGTCGCAGCGAGGTCGCTTCGTGACTTCGGAGCGTGACGATGCCCAAAATCCAGCTGTGACCGACGTCACGTTGCTCGAACGCATCGGCGAAGGCGGCGCGGAGGCCCTGGCAGAGCTGTACGACCGCTTCGGGCGGCCGGCCTTCTCCCTCGCCCGGCGCATCTGTGCCGACGCGAACCTCGCCGAGGACGTCGTGCAGGAGGTGTTCCTCATCGTGTGGCGCGAACCGCGGCGCTTCGACCCCGCGCGGGGCACCGTCTCCAGCTGGCTGCTGACCCTCGTCCACCACCGCGCGGTCGACGCCGTCCGGCGTGAGGCGACGCGGCGCAAGCGCTCGGTGCGCCCCAGCGACGACGGCGAGGACTGGAGCCTGCCGCCCGGGCCGGGGGCCGACCAGGCCGCCCTGACGGCGGTGGCGGCCGGTCACGTCCGCGACGCCCTGGCGAAGCTCCCCTCCGAGCAGCGGGAGGCGCTCGCCCTGGCCTACTTCGGCGGCTACACCCAGCGTGAGGTCGCGAGCCTCGTCGACGTGCCGCTGGGCACGGTGAAGTCACGCATGTTCAGCGGCGTCGCCAAGCTGCGCGACCTGCTGGGCCCCCACATCGAGGATCGGGAGGGAACGCCGTGAGCGACGACGGCATGCACACCTCCCGGCGTGACGAGCACACCGACCTCGCCGTCGGGTGGGTCCTGCACGTCCTCGACGCCGAGCAGGAGGCCGAGTTCCTCGCCCACCTCGAGCTCGAGGGCTGCGGGGAGTGCGCCGAGGTGCTCGCCGACACCACCGCGACGTTCGAGGCCCTCGCCCGCGCCGTGCCGCAGGAGGACCCGCCGCCCGACCTGCGCTACCGCCTGCTCGCGGCCGCCGAGGCCGAGCGCCCGGTCGTCGACGACGAGCCCGCGAGCGGTGACGTCCCCGTCACCGGCGCCGCCCGCTCCCTCGAGGGCGTCGAGCGCACGGACTCCTCGGCGCCCCGCCGCGACGAGCACGACACGACCGACGCCGCCGTCGTGCCCCTGCGGCCGCGGCGGCGTGCCAGCCGGGCGCTCGTCGCGGCCGCCGCGGCTGCCGTGATCGTGGTCGTCGGCGGTCTCGTCGTGACCAACCAGTCGCTGCGCGCCGAGCGCGACCAGCAGGCGGCGACCGCCCAGCAGTACGACCGCATCGTCGACGTCATGCGTGACGCCGGCGCCCCCGGTTCGGTCAGCGCCCCGTTGACCGACCCCCGTGGTGCGCTCGTCGGTCTCGTCGTCGACCGCGGCGCCGGCCCCGAGGTGCTCGCGACCAGGCTCGGCGTCAACGGCCCCGACGAGACCTACGTGCTCTGGGCCCTCGCCGGTCCCGCACCGACGGCGCTCGGCACGTTCGACGTGCCCGACGTCGGCGCTTCTGTCCGTTCCGTACCCTCGAGTCCGATCGCGGGTCCCCTCGGGGGCTATGCGGTGTCGCTCGAACCGGGGCACGCCGCGCCCGCGGCGCCGACCCGGATCGTGGCGAGCGGACAGGTGGGACGTTGAGCGAGGGACGTGACGAGACGACGGCGGTGCTCGATCGGCCCGAGAGGACCCGGACGACCCTGCGGGGCAGGCTCC